AGATATGGGGGGGGAGAGAGAGAGAGAGAGAGAGAGAGAGAGAGAGAGAGAGAGAGAGAGAGAGAGAGAGAGAGAGAGAGAGAGAGAAACCAGGCTCTTGCCTTGTGCACGGTTGCTCTTGCAGACCCTCTCATCGCCCCCTGCTCTTTGCTGTGGGTGAACCGACAGCGCAAAAACACTTTCTTGCACTAAACCGATTAGTGAAGGTATCCTAAAGCACCCGCAAAGGCTTAGAACTCCACACCTACTTTTCTTCTCTGCTACCTCCTGAGGTGCATGTTAAACAGATCAGCTTGCCAAAAAGAGGAATGAGCATTTTCCTGCTCAGCATTCTGACAAAAATGTGAAGTTGAATAAGCTGGGTGGGCCAGAAAGCTAACAACAAGCCTAGAAATCTTTCTTTTCAACACAAGATGGGATATGCTCCCCACCAATAGATGGAGTGGTGTCTGCTCTTATCAGCACCACTAACACTGACGGGGGCGTGTTCAAAAAAAAAAAAAAAAAAAAAAAAAAAAAAAGATGGAGCCTGTCGCCGGGTGCTAGCGGCGTCTGCTCTTACCCCAGCACCAGTAGCACTGGAGGGAGTTAAAAAAAAAAAAARAAAAAAAAAAAAAAAAGGGAAAGCCCGTGCAGTAGGAGAAGTTACAATAAAGTTCGTGAACCAACTGGCCTAGCGCACTTTGTACAGCCCTGGGACTGCTGAAATACAGACCTGAGTTCGAACTCCCCTGAGACCAGATGACTAAAATGCTGAAGTAAGAACCTACTTAGGGACGATCAGCGCAAGATAATGAAATCTCAAGGCTGTTGCACTTTATTATAGAAAAAAAGAAAGAGAAAGTGTGTGTTCAGTGGTCACCATGGCGTTTTATATAATATGATATTATTATCGAACAAAAGGATACTCCATAGCATCCTATAGAATGTCTTTAGGGAGAACTGAGAATCCAAGGGCAAGAAAGAAACAACAGTATACTTTTTTCAGTCTTGAATCTTGATGCTTATTTCAAAGCGCTTCCACTATGAGGCGACACAGGGTTACGACTTCCCCCGGCCAAACTTGGGAGCGAGGGAGAAACTGTGGACTCGACGACCCTTTCTCGATGTGCTTTTCCCCGCTGCTGCACCGCTCTGTTGGGTTCTTCCTTCACATCTTTTGTCCCCAAGGCTGCATCCTTTTTCTGTATTGTGCCCTTGAATTGCTTGATTATGTACATTATGTCTGTCACAAAGTCACCAATGACTGTCAACTGCTCCAGGGGGGCGCTGTATGGAGGCCTGCTCACACGGGACCTTTGGCTACATCGAGCAAATATGTTATCGACTGCCATGCATACCTGGCAAGGAAGGGCATGACAGAAGCCACAACGGGGGGCGTTGGGAGAGAGAGAGAGAGAGAGAGAGAGAGAGAGAGAGAGAGAGAGAG